TGTTTATGCTAAACGTCATTTTTCTCTTTTACAACTCTAGTGATGGCTGCTGTCAATTGTAGGGCTGTTACCTGTCTGCTTCCCCCATGAAGGATACAGTGTGCTCAGATTCAGGGTCTTGGTTCAGACGTTCTTGAAACATGTCTGTAGTGATCCCTCTGACTGGTCATTATTTGGCTCTTGCCAGGCATCTGTTCTTGTGGGGGGAACTGAGGGAAGGAGGAGGTATCAGCTTCATTAATATTTGCGGATTTTCTGAAGCTTAGGAAATTTTTGTCCTTGCCTTCCCTTCTGGCCCTGTGGTGACTGCTCTGAATTGCAGTCTGGAGCTCAACCAGATCACACTTTGTGTAATCATTGGGCTCCTGCCCAGTAAGCGGAAGCACTTTGTCAGCATGATTGGGGGATTAAATATAAACTTGCATTTTCCTCTGGTCCTGAGGAGCATGAAGCTGGGCACTCAGATAGATTGAGTTGGCATCAGACAAGCTGTCTTGATTTTTAAAAGCTCTTTTTACAAGGCAGTTCATAAAAACATAGCTTGACCAAATGATGATGAGTTGTTTCTATGTAACGCTTGTTAGACTAGTCTTGCTGTAACACCCCTGCTTTGCAACGTCCAATCTGCTTACTTGCATAAGGCAGCTTGCTTCAGGTTTTGGCCTTGAGCTTCCATATATGTTCACAGATGCAGATTTGTCTCTGGAGTACTGTCTGATGCGGAAAGGGTCCTTTGCAGTAAATGCCCATGAAGTTTATTCCCATTTTAAGGCTCTTTACACAGCCAGAGAGAAGCAATACAGCACTGGAAAATGATAGAATCAAAGTGACACCTACAAACCAGTGCCCAGCTAGCCGTTTAGGAGGTTGCTTCTTAATCCCACTCCTAATTTCTAAATCCAGGGGTTTAGTGATTTTTTTTTTCACTGTCTTTTAATATCTTACTAATTTTAAGCATGTTGACAACTGGTGTTTGGCTGCTTGACTTTTTTTGTTGCATTTGTTCCTTATTTCTAATTTCTATTCCTCTTTATGGGAGGCAAAGGCAGAAGGGACAGCCTGAGCTATTAATACTTCCAGAGAGCAGGGCAGTGTGGTATTTGTGGAAATCTGTATTTCTAGTGAAAAAATTCAGAGGCTAGTGCCTTCTGCAAAACCGTAAGTAATGATGAAACAGAACTAAATTAAAAAATAGGCTCTTGTGAGGACTTTGTGCTGGCTGATCTTTTTAATAACAGTTCTTAAAATAATTTCAGCCATTCTAAGTGAATTATAAACTAAAAAATCTGAACCTCTTTCAGGCTTGAGTAGAAGGCGGCATAAAAATGGATCTGTGCTCTCCAAGTATCCAACACCTACAAGTCTTTATCCTCATATGTTGCTCCACTCAGTTGTTCCAGTAAAAGCTTACGTCACTTCATGTCCAGTCCAGTCCTGTGCAATCCCTCTAAACATTTTAACTCCCTCTCCTATTTCTCTTGTAGACCCCTCCTCACCCCCAGTTCTGCACCCTCAGTTCCAGGAATGGCCCCAGGGGTTTATTTTTTGGATTTGTTTTTTGGTTTGGTTTGGTTTTGAAACAGCATTGCAAAAAATCTCTTGATCAGAATCATGGTATTTAAAGATTTGCTGATGCCCCTGTGGAAAACTTTGTGTCATTATCTTTTCAACCAATTCCGCTGACAGATCATTTACCATTTGTGTTCCTCCTCCCTTGTTGTGTGCTACTGAAAAAGTATAGTGGACTTTTTTCCAAACTCATTCCAATTTTTGTGACAGGTTTCTGTGCTCCCAAAGCCTGAATCTGTTGCCTTTTTATGCACTGCTGCAAGTATTGGATCTCCAAAGCGTGGCTGGAGAGAGAAGGCTGCCAGCTGGGAGTACCGCCTGGGTCCTGTGCCTTGTTTCTCATTTCAGATGAACATTGCTTTCCAAGCTGAAAATAGTCAAGTGCCCAAGAGTTCAGAGATGTCCCCTTCCTTGAGTTTTATTTTCCTCCTCTTGAACCCTAGCTGCTGCAATTTACATTCGAAGCCCTACAAATGCAAACAAATAGGATTTTGCAACTTCACCTTTCACTCTGAAAAGGCACACAAAACTTTTGTCAGCAGTGTTTCCTGTTCTGACTCAAAAGGATCCCTGTGAGAAAAGCTAAGCGCTTGGATCACTGCTGCCCCTTTGTTAAATTAAGGGAAAAGAGCAAACTGAGGAAGGAGTCTGACATCCCTGCAATATAACTGGGGAGGAAGAATAGAGTGGAGAACACACTGCAATGCTCCAGGTTCCCTCTATTTGCATTGCATTGCACCTTGCAGTGTACAGACAGGCAGTAAGACTCTTTATCTGTAATAACTGCTTGTATTGGTCTTCCAAAGAACTGCATGCTACAACGAAGATGCCTTTGCATCCAGAAAAAGCTACTGCGTTTCAAGACCTGCGCAGTCTTTTCCCATAGCATTATCAGTAATTTCCTATGAGGTGCAGGTAGAGACTAAGTTTTGCACCAATCCTTTACCCTATCTGTTAACTGAAACCCAAGGTCACACAGGCTTTCTTACCTGACAAGAAGACCAAGGAGACGAGGTGCATGAGCTTCTCCATGTCAGTCAAGTAGAGAAGGGGACAAGAGAGGAGTCAGGAGAAAATTGAAAAGGTCTCTTGCCCAAGAGCAGCTTGCTTTTCCCCCCTCCTTGCTCTGCCGGAAGGAATGAGCACAGGAACTTGGCATCTTTTTCATCCTGTATATTGAGCAATTCACCAGGGACGGGCATCTCTCTCGTGGGCTGAAAATTCAGACATCAGCATTGCCCACTCACAGCCACAATTTAGTCTAGACAGCCTGAAAGACAGCATCATGTGATGGCCTGAAACCATGATGCTGGAAGCCTCTCAGCTCAGCAATGGTGCCTGTCCACCAGAGCAGGCTTTACACATAAGCTTTGCATGGGGTGAATTTCTGGAAAGCCAAAAGGGCGGCTCTTATCAAGTCGGCAGGTAGCTCAGTCAGCAACACAAAGGTGAAAGGACGGCAAGGACAGAATCTTGTGGGTTATTTTCAGGAGAAAGAAGATTTAGAAGAGCCTGCACATGAAGCATTCCTCTGACATAGAACTGAAGACAGGAAGACAAGGACGCTGTGCTGGGTGAAGCTGTGAGGTACTTTAGACAAGCAAACCAGACATTTATTTTGTACCTAGCAGAAAGGACATAAGAGCAAGGGATGGGGGCATTGATTCAGAGCCCATCAGTGCCATACTGATTCAGTAGTTCCAGACTGCAGTTAAGGGAGCCTGCTTGAGCGTTAGCAAACTGGTATGTTATGGATGGGTTACTATTTTTTCTTTTTTGAATTTATTTACTTTGACATCTCCATGCAAATACCAATAGACCCTGACTTCTTAACTTGTATGCTTATGTGCTTCCTAACAGGCAGATAAGTCTGCAGGTCTATCCATTCATGAATGTGCCCTCTTTTTCTTTCCTCTAATTAGCGTGTAAGAAAATGGTACCTTACAGTATCAAAAAATTCTCTGAGAGACTTACTAATTGCAGGTTTTGTTCATTTGTGCTCTAGTGAGCACGAATCTGGGTTCTCTTTGATCAGAAGCAGCTGTCTCCCTGAAAACGTCTCTCTTGAACTCGATTGTTTTCTTCTATTACTCTTCCACTGTTTGACCCAGCGTAACTGACTGCATGAATAGCAAGTAGGTAGGGGAATCTCGGGCTGAATGAACCATTTCCAGCACCGTTCTTTTTTGTTTCTTTCATTTCAAGTTAAACATGTCAACTCTAAAAATCTAAAAAAAATAGATCAGTTTCCCTGCTGTACCCACAGCAAGATAAACCTATTGGATGTGACTGGCTTGTGAACAGGGAGTGCTTCGGGCCCCTTTAACTAGCCACCTGTCTGCAGAGCTTGGTGAAGCTAAATAAAGTGCTAGGGTTTCTGGTCTTTTGGAGAAGCTGAGCTGAGCCCCAGCAAGCTCATTTCATATTTCTCACCACATGACTGCTAAATAAAGGCAGCAAATGTGTAATTTGGAGTATTTCCAGCAGAAAGAAGGAAGTAATGGTATCACTTTCCAAGGCCCTGGTGAGCTCTCCCATGAAACTGCACACACATTTGTGGTCTCCTGTGACTTTAGAAGAAGCCACAAAAGCTTGCTTTCTATGTTTAACATCTTTGTTGGTGACATGGACAGTGAGATCGAGTGCACCCTCAGCAAGTTTGCTGATGACACCAAGCTGTGTCGACACATTGGAGGGAAGGGATGCCATCCAGAGGCACCTGGGAAGGCTTGAGAGGTGGGTGCATGAGAATATCATGAAGTTCAGCAAGGCCAAGGGCAAGGTCTTGCAGTGGGTTGGGGCAATCCCAAGCACAAATCCAGGCTGAGGAGAAGGACTTGGGGGTGTTGGTGGATGAGAAGCTCAACATGAGTTGTCAATGTGCGCTAGCAGCCCAGAAAGCCACCGCATCCTGGGCTGCATCCCTAGCAGCGTGGACAGCAGGGTGAGGGAGGGGATTCTGCCCCTCTGCTCCACTCTGGGCAGACCCCCCTGCAGTGCTGCCTCCAGCTCAGGGACCTGCAACAGCAGAAGGACATGGACTATTGGAGCGGGGCCAGAGGAGGAACACAAAGATGCTCTGAGGGCTGGAGCCCCTCTGCTGTGAGGACAGGCTGAGAGAGTTGGGGGTGTTCAGCCTGGAGAAGAGAAGGCTCCGGGGAAACCTTAGAGCTCCTTCTTTCATGTGCGGGTGGTGAGGCACTGGAACAGGTTGCCGAGAGAAGCTGTTGCTGCCCCATCCCTGGAGGTGTTCAAGGCCAGGTTGGATGAGGCTTCAACCTGGTCTGGTGGGAGGTGTCCCTGCCCGTGACAGAGGGCTGGAACTGGATGGTCCTTAAGGTCCCTTCCAACCCAAACCATTCTGTGATTCTATGGTGTAGCCAAAAAATAAAAAGTGCTGGAAGTAGGTATGCTGTTTTGTATTGGTCTTCCAAAGAACTTAGAAAGAGCAGCTGCACTGGTGAATAGGCTGAGAAGAGCTGTTTAAAGTACAGCACAGAGCTGCAAAAGCACAGAGCTACATCTAAGACTGGCTGGATAGTAATTCCTGAAGAGCTACAAAGATGCCTCATAACAATGAAGGCAAGAGACCAAGCATTGGAAAAACATGTTTGATAGTTTATGGTGTGGTTATTCAGGATAGCAGGGTTTGATGAGGCCCCAGCCAGCCTAGTGTTCCTGTGGCAGCTCTTGGAAGTTGCCACCTGAATGAGAGCTGCACTGGAGATCCATAAATATGTTGTGTGTCTGACTTACTTTGGACATTTACACCTGTAAATAATCCGCTCTTAATTACCATCATGTCCCTTTTGTTATATCAAGTGATGTTGAGAACAGCCCTCTTATGCTCGCACTCCTCTGTTGTCTATGTCATACTTCCTGCAGCTTCTTTGCACAGCCTACCATTTTCTTGCTCTGTGCTCATGTCTGTACAGACATTGCTCATGTCTGTCTCAGGGCTCATCCTTGCAGTTAGCACAGCAAGGCAAACTCTGTTCAAAAATGTCCCAGTGCCCTGTCCACTCCTCTAGTGCAATACCACATGTTGTTTCCTTCCCTCCTTTCTACAGAAATACTCTTTTCTGGTTCTCCCAACTTGTCTTGATTCCACACTGCCTTGGTTTAAGCAGCCAGTTTGTGTGTTCTTGGGGAACAGAGGGTGTAAGACAGCAGGCCAGCCAGAACAAAGTTTTGAACAAAATAATGACCTTTGATTAGGAGATAGTGAAATGACGGGGCAGTCTGCACAAGCTACACATGGGAAGCCATGTCTGTAGCTTCAGATTTCAGCTGCTGCTTCATTCTATTTTCACTGTACAGGTCTCAAAGACTGCATAAATATGCTATGGCTGTGGATGACCCTGTGAACAATTTCAGTCCTCAAGATTGGAAAGAATTAAGTTGTGTAGAGGGTACAGTGTTGGAGACTCTCACTCGTGTAATCAACAGCAGCCACACTGAATCCATCCCACAACCCTCTGCACTCCGTAAAGGGACACTTGTACATGCTCTCAGTTGTGTCACCACCTTCATTCCCTCCTACCCCCAAACTCCAGCACACACATTCTATTTCTTGATCTAGAGCTCAACATCTAGCTTTAGTATGAAAGCTTCTTACCATCCTACTTCTTATCTAAGCAGACTGATAGATTTAGGTTGTAGAGGAATTTGCATTAAGTCTCAAAAAGAGTACGTATTACTTATATGCACCATTGTCATTTTGTAGCTACAAGACCTTCAGATTCGTACAGCACAATCCTCAGTTTGCATAGTTTGTGATGCAGCATATCATTGTGTTGTAATACACCCTCAAGCTGTTGGCCTTCGGGCAGATGCTGGTTCTGATTATTATTGTAATCTAGAGCTCATGTCCCCCGCCCATTACATGGCAAATGAACCCGGTCACAGCAAGGTTAGAGTTTTATCCCTACAGCCCCGGGATGAGTTTGCTTGGCCATAGAAGCTGAACCCTTAGGAGTGGGATAGAGTTTCTGTTAGTGAACATAGTTGAAATACCAAGCCCATCCATGTTCAGACAAATACTGTTGTGGTTTTTTTTCAAAAGGTCAGTCCTCCACACCTGCCTCTCCAATAGAGTCTGCATTTTAATGGCATTGAAGAAAGCAGAGGCACATGAGATCCTGAGAATTACCCAGCATCTCTGGCTCACCTGAGAGAATCTGCACACTTGTGGCAAAATTCTCTACCGGCCTCTGATAGCAGGGAGGTCTTAAAATGCACAGGCAACATACACATGGCAGCAAAAACTTAGATCTTTCCCCAGTGTCCATCCACAGACCTTCTTCTCCCCATTCCCACTTCTTATTCCAGTTCTTTTCTCCCATTTCTGGATTGTTTGGGGATTCTGTGCTTCATCCTTTGTCATTCGTCAGTAACTGCTTGAGTGCAATGATAGCATATTCCACATTTTCATCTTTGGGTTCCCTGTAAGCCTGACTTGGTTCAACATTACAGTAGAGAGGATCCTCAGGGCTGAGTCGGGATTTAAAGTTCAGGGTAACATATGTTAGGTCTTTGCTGTCATGCTTGGGACTTTCCATTTTTTCAGTGCTGTCAAGCTATGAAAAGGAAGGGAAAACGCTTGTTAGCATGATTCAGTGCCAGGCCACAGCTGTTTTCAAAAGAACAAGGTTTTCCCAGGAGGAAAGGAGAAGCCATGTAAAAACTTACCTTCCATAACGACAGAGATGAAAGAACAGAAAACTCTTTCCTTCATCACCTCTCCTTGGTGCAGTTTACAACCTCATCATCTGACCTTGGTTTCTAGTCTTTTAAGTCATTTCTCAGAGATTACTAGAATTTGCTCCACTGTTTTTTTCCTACACAAGTTTCCTTACATTAATTACCCCCCTCTCTCTCTAGCTAGGAACATTCCTCTCTTTGGTGACATTAAATACCATTTCTCCTCCTGAACACAACCAAAAATGAGCACCAAGGTCCTCATCAGATGGGTCAGCCAGCTCCTCACAGACAATTGGAAAGGGATTCAGGTACCATATGGGAAATCTATCATTTTCCTTACCTGTGCTATGTCCTCTGGTTTGTCATAGGTGTCCTCTGCTTGTCTGTTACCTTTGGAATGAGCCAAAATCAGAGGTTTTAGAAGTAGAGAAGTCCATGAAATGCCTGGGCATTGCCTATGCTTCAGGAGTTTGGGGAAGGCTGTGAGATTGCCCAGTGACAGAGGTGATGGGTGTGCCAGTGGGACCCATCTACCCTGAATCTGGTGAACACATTGCTCTCACTTTACTTCTCCTCTAACCTGTTAGGAGGTGTCCTGTGCAGAGTCTAGAGGAGCATAGGTTTGACTTATTGTGAGAAGAGATCACAGCAAGGAGCCTGCCTTGAGGCTTCCCAGGCTGCACCAGCCTTATCTTCTCCAGGGCACTGTGAGTTGGGAATAAGCATGCCTGGAGTGGAAAAGCAATGGCCAGAGAAGGCCCTGTTTAGTACCGATGTGAATATGAGGCATTGCCAGTCTCCACATACCTCTTCTCTTCAGCTGCTTGTGCTGCCTGACACACAGTGTTATCAAGCTGGTAAGTGCCAGGATGAACAGGATGCTCAGGACTCCAGAGACTATGGCGAAGGTGTGTACATTTGAGCTGAAGCCAAGAGAGCAAAGGAGTTACCAGTGTTAGATGGTATAATAGCATGATGCTGGCATAGCCCATTACCAAACAGTGACAGGAATAGCTTTTATGCACTTAGAAGGAGGGTCTGGTTATCATGTAGAAATGCTATCTTGATTTTTCTACCTGGCTGTGCTTGAGCTTTTCCTAAACTGTTCTCCAGGCTTTAAAAACAAGCCACGGTTCATAGTTCAGAGCAAAATTCCAGGCTCCCCGGAGCAGGTACTGACTTTTCCTCCTCTGTTTTCCTGCACCTGGTGCACTGGAGCTGATGTGTGATTACACTGTTAGGTCCTGCTGTAGTGTTGACAGCAGATGTCCAAAGGGGAAGAAAATCCTTTCAATTTAACAGCCTCTTAAATAGAAGGATAAAATAGCAGCCAAAGACTATTTCATTGTTAAATATCCATGGACAGAAGTGAGCAATGTCAAGACAGGAAGTCTTAGGGGCAGAATCTGGGGGCTTCTGTTGCTGCAAAGAGCACAGCCCAAAGAGATAAAAACCAGGATAGGCATCTGTGTTCCAGAAAGCTGTGACTTGATTTTATCAAATTGCTTCTTCCTTTGTAATTACACTCTGGGCAGGAGCTAGAAGAGGAGAGGCCATCTTTGCTAAGGATGGCTGTCACATTGAATGTCTCTGTAAGCAGGAGTCTTCAGAATGCCCAGAAACTGCCTACCTCAGGAAGAAAGGCATACAGTGAATGAGACATTAAATAACTCTTGTCTGTGTTGAAGCTCGGAGAGTTTCTTTAGGCCTTACCTCGATCCTGAGGTGTTGCCAGAAGGGGTTGTTTGATTTGTGCCTGCAGTACCTGGCAAAGTTGTTCCAGCCGATACTGCAATCGCAAACATGAAGAGGAGAATAATCGCTACTGGGCTGCTTTGCCTTTACCAGCTGAATTTCCCTGCCGCTGCTACACGGCTATAAATCCATTCCCACGATGACCCCCAGCACAGCCAAGCTGCCCAGGCTGTAACCTGTGGCATCAGGACTTGCTGGCAGCAGGCAGAGCCACATCAGGATCAAAAGGTGGGAGGGAGGGGCAAGGACCTGAGCAGCAGCCCCGCTTTGTGTGTACCCACCCAACGTGTGGCCGAAGGAAGCGCTGTAAGTGCATGCAGATGTGCTCTACGGCAGAGATCTCCAGGTAGCGGTGAAATATTTAGCAACTCTGTGCTTAAGCAGACGGAGGCTTACGTAAGCAGAGGCTTGCAAAACGTAAGCCAGGAGCAGTGTCTGTGAAGGACTCGGCTGTAAGAATTGCTTCCGGGGCCATTTCTGTGCCCAGGGGAGGTTGTGCCCGCAAGAGCCTGCTCGCTTAGAGACTGCATTCAGTCCCGTGTTTTAGGAGTTTCGCCGAGAGAATGATGCCGGCCCCTCTCAGCATCTGGATATCAGCCGTATCCCTTGAGTGCCACGCTGCCACGTTGCTAAAAGACAGGCTGCAGCATGGTGCTGTCCTGCCACAAACGGTGCCTAAATGTTATCCCTTACTGTTAAAACGTCATGCTGCCAGGAAACCTTGGAGTCAGAGATCTTTCAGATATGGGTCTGAAGGTTGTCCCCCCATCCATAGCATGGCTAGTGTGAGAAGGTGTAATGATGTAGGGTTTGGGCGGGGAAACACATGCCGATGTAAGGCAGGAGGTGGTGTAAGCTGGACAGTGCAGAGATGAGAGGGAGAGAGTAGGACAGTGAGTCTGGAATCTCCAACCAACC